TATTAAAGCTCAGTTTAGCTCCTTTTCTTGCTCCCAGAGATTATTTGCAAACAGAAAAAACTTCCAGGATTACTGATTTGAAATATGAATACTTTGTGGCACTTTTGAGAAACTTTTGGTCAATAGTGTTTTCAGGGTTTATTTGTAAAAAAATTGTTTTTGAACAGGATTACTTAGTAGTGGTTGGTCAAATAAGTCATGTGGTATTTTTTTCTGTTCTCTGAACGAATGCATGAATGAATGACTGTTCAGCTACAAATCTGAATTTTAAAATGTATTTGTCAATATTTGTTTAAGACTCATATGGATGTTTGTGGAAAGTAAGCAAATGTAAGATGGGAACGTGGCCGAACTAAAACCATCCAAGAATTCATGCACATATTTGTGGAACTTTTTCTCAGTTTCAGCATGTGTCATCATTCAAAACCTAGAGAGGGACAAACTGAAGCATACAGTCTGCTCAGAGTCATGGGAACAGCCAGGACTAGAACTAAGACTATGGTTACACTTTTCACAAGATTGTGCATATTGAGTTGTTTTAATAATAGTTTGGGATCATTTGAAATACTATTAAAGAATAAATACCTATGGTTGGATTCTCACCCTGTGGTTCTTTTCTGCTAGGTAAAGTGGCCATAGTATCATAAAGGAGCCTTTAAAAGCCCCAGGCTGGTGTAGGTGCTCTACTGGGTGATGGGCAGGCCCACGGGATGACTCTAGATGGACCTTAGAGCCCATAGGCAGTCGGCCACGACTTAGGCTGTTCTCAGGGTTGCTTAAGTTCTAGAGTCTGTTTGTACTGATAGCTATGATCTACCCTGTGAGTACTTTTAATCAACACAAGTCTTGTGAGGCTCATACAACGTGAATCACATTGTGCTGCGTGTCCCTCAAGCACAGCTCTTGTAGGGATCAGCTTGCCCACTATTTACCTTTTCTCTACTTGGCTCTATTACAGACGATAAAGACAGGAATAGGCGAACAGAAGGGCAAGAAGTCAGAAATAGAGAACTGTTGGATTGCTGCTTTTGGATTTGTTGTTCTTGTTGCCTGTAGGCTGTGGCTAATTTCCAAACGCTCTGCAGGGAAGAGTGGGCTAGGAAAAGGATTGATCTTGGATTCTGAAGTTCAGCGGGGCTTCTGATATTGGGGTGGACTGCTGTTGTGGATTGAATTTAAAAGTTTTTGGAACAGATGGTTGGGATGTAGAGACTTGAAGCAGATCAACCCTAACTAGCAGTCCAGACATCACTCTCCAATTCCTGCCAGCAGATCAGGATGATGTGAGACTGGAAGAGGCAGATATGGGAGATATTTCCCTTAAAAAATGAATTTCAGATGTGTGCTGACTCTCCTGTGTGGGACAGCAGTATGCATTTATGTCTCAACAAAACTCTTAACTAGGTCCATTTATGCTTTAGTATAGAATGAAAGAATTGTAAAGAAATGCTCATAAAACCTACAGCTGTTTTCATGCCAGGGGAAGGCCTGGGACAACAGAGAAGTCCTGTGAGCCAAACCACAGTTATAGTGACTATAAGAAATTGAAAAATGAACATTTTATTATTGAAATAAAATACTTAGCAATGTTATTTCTGACTCTCTTATTTTTTAGCAATTAAGAAAACAAATTATGCGTTATTACATACAATTGTTAACATATGGCAAAAGACTCCTTGATTATCAGTTTTAAACAATTATATTTAACCAAGTGCCATATTTCACAAACTAAGATGCAACTATCAAATCTTTATAATATAAAGTAACATCCCCAAGCACACTTTACACTTTCTAAGTTCTGACTAAACCAACGAAACCCTCTAGTTTCTGGCTGCATGGCTCATTAGTGTGATGCCTTTACTAAGAGACAACCCTACCCAAAGCATTTCTAAACTAACAAGAGAAGTTGAGTTAAATTTTGGGTGACAACTTGGGTCAAGATGAAACTAGCAGTTTATATATACTTTATCAAACTAGCAGTTGATATATTTTTTTAACCTGCTCCACTGGCTTTATTGGTATGTCTGGTAGATACTCCTGTAATTTCGGAAGATGAAGTTTGCTAAGAAACAAAACTACTGAAAATGATAGAGATTGGAAGAGGGGACAAAAGATACATACAAAAAAGACTCATCATTAAATTGAGCATATGCAAGACAAACAATGTAATTATGTTGCCAGTGGCAAAAATAATTCATGGCTCATCATAAATGACTTTTCTTCTCTCTAAATCATTAAATATTCTCTATGGCATGTTAAAGGACAATAACCGTTGTATCTCATATTATTATTAGCTTACCTAGTTGAAAGTCAAAACTGGACATTCAATAGATTAAATAAATGCAATTCAATAGTGTTTTAAAAAAGCTGTAAATTACACTTTCTATATGAAAACTTGTCTGAAATCTAGCTGCTGCAGAGTACAAGAAGCCTATGATTTGAGAAATATGAGCATAATATGGCTATCTCAATTTTGCTATGTTTCTGCACTACTACCTTTTCAGATGGCAGAAACAGAGTTGTCTGAAGTCAGTAAAAACAACTGATGGTTCTTTAAGCTATGAATCATTCAGTGGGAAAAAACAAACTTCTTCACCTATTTTCAGTATTTTTTTTAAATCTTCTTCCCCCTTATTCACTTTCTTTAAGGACCAATTTTTTCATCAGTCAAGCTACATCTCATGCCAGGGCAGAAATAAAATCTCAGCCCAAGCGGCATGTTGCAAGCCATGACTCCATTTGGACCTTTACTTGGACTATGTACAGGGCTTACAGTAAAAAGAGTAGTTCTGGCTTGTACTTTGTGATAAGTTCTTGTATGGTAGGTCACTTTTTTGTTTTTAATGTAGATCTTCTATTAAGTAGTTGATTGTTACACAAATAATAATCTGGAATATTACTGCAGCTACATATTCTTAAAAACAAGGTAGTTCATCTTAGTGGGGTCTCATCCTTTATAAATATTTCATTGCACTGGATTCCTTGGCTCTCCCTGGGAAATCAACATACTACATTAGTCTCAGCAAATAATTTTGGAGCTTGTTCTCATTGGTAATTTACATTTTGCAGAATTTCCATTTGTATTAATAACTGATCACTTCTATGAAACATGTTTTCCCCCTAAGGCCTAACGTTTTTCTTTGGAGACCAATTAAGACAGACATTGTTTTCTTCAAGTAGCTAGTTATTTTAATTACTGGTAAAAATTGTTTGCTTTGCAAGGATTTAACTGGTAGGACTTGTCTAATGCTTTGCATTTCAAACTATTACAAGCTTTGATTTAAGAAATTTTGACACTATTTTCTGACACTGGCAAGTGTCTACAAATGACACATTCTGAAAAAGTGGTAACAAGTATAGTACAACAGGACACATATTAACAGTCCTTCGGGGCTATTAAAAATAATCAAAGTCCATTCTCCTTGATATGTGCTTTCTGTTTCTAAACTGGATTTATTTCCTGCTTTCAAATGGAGCTGCTATAGTAATGGATGGTCAGCAAGCATTTCCTTAAACTAGGAAAAATACAGTATTATAGTGATGGCTGTGAAAACTTTCACATCTAAAGGGAAACTAATGAACAAAGGAGCTGAATTTCAGTTGTAACCACAGATTCATTTACTGTCTTATCCCATCAATAATGATAGTCAAAACATCTTTATGACTTCTCAAAGGACTACAACCAAACTCTCTTCTGCCCTTATTCCTAGGTTTAGCTCATGCCTAAAGTGATCCTCATCACTTATACTGTATAATCAAACATTGGTCTTTCATTAATCAGTGTCCCCAAAGGAATAATTTTCTTTTTCTTTGTATTCACTTTATGAAATGCTGCTACTTTTTCACAAAAACAAAAGTAGCTCATTCCAGTAAAAGGAAAAAGTCAAAGTCAAAGTGGAGTCTTGGCTTGTAGTATAGCACTTGGGCTGAGATTGTATTTCTGTCCAGAGAGAGGGCCTTAGAAAGGATGAGCACGGGGGAAAAATTGCAAAACTTAGGCTGAAAAGAATAAGGTTGTGGGATTTGGGGTTGTTTTTGTTCATTTGTTTTTGTATTATTCATGACCCAAAGAACAAGGAATCCTCTTTGATCCCTTTTACCTGGGCTAACTAAATAAAAGTAAAGTGAATCAGCTCTAGCACCTGGCAAGGACTTTAGCCACCTGTGGCCGTATTAGAACAGTTGTATGTGCATATGAATACCCCATTGAATGCTGTCCTGAATAATTGTCCTGGAACTGGATTTTTGGTTTTTCCTTGTTGTTTCGATGGCCTGATGAAAATAAATGATGAAATTTATCCCATTTGATTTTTGTTTAGTGTCATAAACAGAAATGGCTGCCAGAAATAAGACAGCATTTGCATGTCTGGCATTTTTGCACATTGTTGCAAGTGAATGGACAGTCTAGAAATGGATGGTGGGTGTCAGTTGACCAGTCAAATATCGGTCAAAAATTGTAAAAAATTGCCAATAGGTCCAAATAATAAACAGAGAAGCACAAATTTTCCATTAAGAAATGTGTCAAAAAATAATAAAAATAATATTTCTGTCAAGAAAACTATAAAAATAATGTAGTTTTTGGTAAAATTGCTATAATCTTTGACAGGTCAAATAACATGTAGTCAATTGACCTGTCAAGTGACTGTGTTTGACTGGTCAATTGATTGGCTTGTCAACCCTATTTAAAACTGTTTGCAGCTTGCAGGAACTGGATGTAGTAAATGGCTGCATCCACACGTGGATATTTGGTTCCTCAGGGACAACTAGCACACATGGATGTTTAGCTCCCCAGGGACAATTAGCAGTGGCGCACCTTGTGCCACTGCTAGTTGTCCCCAGGGAACACCTGTGCCACACACCCTTTGGCACGTGGCAGGTTACTGCGGGTGGGGTAGGGGATGCTGGGGCCAGCAGCATTACCTGTGGTCCTGCAGGCCCCCCAGGGCCACGCAGAGCTTGGCCAGCAGCCAGAGTGCAGCTCTGGCTGGTCAGGCTCCAGTTTTGGGCGGGCGCACACTGCCCCTGTGTGTGCCATCCCACTTTTATTTCTCCATACATTTTTTTGACCCATGGAGGTCAACCCCCTGCCCCCTTTGCAGCATGGAGAACAATTGAACATGAGGTACATGGCACTGCAGACATGTCTGCAGCACCACATACCGCATGGCCCCACTCATCTGGATTTGGCCAATGATTTCTACTTCCAACTCCTCTCACAAAAGATACCTAACAGACCACAATGTGCCTTGCATATGCTTAAACAATTTTTTTGCACTGGTATTGCCAGTCACTCTCACCCCTTTTTTGTACTGCCATAGGATCTGGTAGAGAGCACACGCCTGAGTTTTTACCATAGTGCTCTCTCAACCTGCTCCAAACAAAGCCGCACTAGGTCTTCAGCAACGGTGGGAAGATTTCTGGTGTCAACAAGCCTTTGTACAATAACAAAGCTAGTAGCTGATTTCAGAACCTTTAGCAATGATTATTAATGATAGCTTTCTTGCAATAGACAAGGCTGAAGACTTGGTGCTCTTTTGATTAGTAATCTTATACAGCACTGCCCACACAATGGGATTGACTCATCGCTAAGGCTGAAGAGATGGAGGTGGGTGGGTCCTCACTTCGTTCATTATTTCCTTTGTTGGACAGTCCAGAGCAAACATTCACTTTCTGAGTCACACATGGGGGGTGGAGGGGGTGGTTGTACAGTGTTTTATGCTGCCACTGCTCCAGTTCGGCTTGACGACCATTTGGGCAGCAATGGTCATGTGGCACTGACGGCATTCCCCTTTCCTTTCCATAGGGCTGACATTCCCCCATCTTCTGGTTTTCCTAGTGCCAGACTAAGATAGCAATCTACTTTCAAAAGAACTGGCTCTGACTCAGTGGAGACACAGCAGATGTGATGCATACTGGCTGACATCAGAAGGATCTGGAGGCTACTTAATGATTTAAAAGAAAGTGGGAGCATTCTGGTTTTTGCTTAGAAAAAAATGCCTTCAAAAAGCATTAAACAGTGAGAGCGGGGTTTTGTAGAGCTTGCTCCTGGAAATCAACATAAAAACGTGTATTATTTTCAGTAGGAACCAAGGACATGGTCTCACTCATGAACCTAAACCTCATTTTGGCTTAGTGTGACCCTTCATGGGACCACAGGAATTCCTACTCCAATAATGCCATCTCGCCTTACAATGGGAAGTTCTGAGCAAAAAGCTGCTGCCAGGACTTGCTGGATGGGGTGTGCGGGATGGGAGGACCGGACGCTTGGAGTGGGAGGCCCTGTGGGTTGGTTGTAGGGCTCGTGTTCTGGGAGGGAAGCTTTCTTTCTGCCCTGTGTGGAGGGAAATGTTATTAGGACAGGTTTTGTTCCTGGCAAGCCGACTCAGAAGATGACCCGTTAATCATAACATTCACATTTGCTTAAGTGGTTTGTTTCTGTAAATGGAAGTGCAGCCTTTTGAAAATCAGAGAGGCTGCCCAGGTGCTGCCTTTGGGTTGACAGCAAGGGAGCAGCGCTCTGCCACTTTTGTTTTCCTGCAGAATACCTCTGATGACTGAAATAAAACAGTGTGGCACCTGCTAACCTATCCAACTGAAACCTTCCCCCTTTTTTATTGCTACAGGATCCTGAAATTAACATCATGGTAGACTTGAGTCCATAAAATATATTACATTTTTGTAGTTCAAATGCTATTGCACGCTACACTATCTACTCAGCGAGCTCATTCAAGAATAATAGCCAGGAGAAATCGGCATACTGAGTGGTATTCTCAGAAGCAAACGCATACAAGTCTTGAGTACAAGGTTTCTTCTTAGCCTAGCTGGCAGCTGAAAAGCAGTTAGGAAATAATATTACAACAACATCTAGCTCTAATACATTTTGCTATTTTCCAAAAAAATACAGAATAATTAATAGCATAATTAACTTTGCTTTAGGTTCCAGAACCATAGCTCAAGCTTTTTTTCCCCCTTCTTTTTGATTTCCAGTAATTAAAGTTTCTGTCACAGAATTTAATGATGGAAATAGTTTCTGTGAAAAATCTGGAAGCCTAATATAATGATGCGCATTTTTTAGTCACTAGATGGCACTATCCAGTAGTTTTGCTTTTGCAGAGAAAAAAAATGTAACCTGTTGTACTGCTTTTAGGTTCTTATATTTGTGACACAACAAGTCCATCTGGCAACATTAAACTTACATGATTTGGGACTTGCTTTCTTACTTTCTATCTTAAAGTTGGTTTCTGTTTTTCTTTGAATGTAAGATTAGTAAACTAGAGAGTATTTCTATGAAATTTGTGTAGGGAAGGGGGTGCAACCTGCAATGAAGAACAGACATGAAGAGAAAAATGTTGAAAAGCCTATTAGTATGGTCACCTAAGCACCTCGGATAATGTAGGTAAAAGCATTCGGGGACCGGGGGCGTTGAGCAGAACTGCAAGAACAAGGAACTAGCCAGCTACAGCAGTTTGATTTAGGGACTGGGAGACTGGAGAAGTGGAAATTCCTACATATAGGCTCCAAAAAGAAACCTAGGCAGTGCTTCAAAGCTAGGAATGAGAACAACAGAGCAATCAGAACAACAGTTGTGTTGTACCCTGAATTGGTTCAGGAAATGTCAAGATGTTCATTCGCTGTGATTTGTTGGGTTTGTTGTTACTTTGCATGTACTAGTTGGGAAGGGCTTGACAATTCAACAAGCTTTGCTGCAGTCTCAGGCTAAGCCCCTTGCCTTACAATTCTGTAACTTTAAATTATCGTTATTATTATTTTTTACATTAACCTCTTTTCAGATGATTAATGTTCCGGTTTAAGGAACAGCATTCTTTGTAGATATTTGCTTTTATCGAGGAAAGATCGGTGTGTTCCATCATGAAACTGCAAGCATGTCAGCAGGAAAGAAAGGTTACAGCACAATTTAAGATAGAAACGTTCATCATCAGTAAATAAACACTCCAGTTTAGGGATCTCTGGTGTAACATATGATGAGCGGGAGTGGTGCTGACATGGTAAGAGTTGTTGCTGTCGATTGTTGTTTATGGGGAATCTCTCTTCAGGTAGATGGTTTACTCTGTCAGCTGCTTTCTTCAAAGCTGCCACTATGACTGCAGGAATGAAATCGCATAGTACTCATGGGATCAGACACATAACCTGCATAAGGCAGAGAGAAGTTCAGGAATTATTCACAAGTGCCTCTCAACAAAGCAACACTTTTTTCCATTTACAGCCAGTGACCATGTCAAAGAGATAATGCAAATGTCTTTTCAAGATAAACAACCCTAGCCCATGCTGATGTCTTTTTGCTGCCTGGAACCCAACTCAATTTCATCTCCGGAGGAAAAATGTAAATATAAAATTTGAAATGTACAGACCTGATCGTTCACAATAATCAGGTGCAAGGAAATGTCAGTGATATCTTTTTAGTGATAAGAAGTTTAATGATGCAGTGCAGGATTCAGACCTTCTGTAATTTTAAAAATGTCGGTAAGATCCAAAATAAGCAGCCTATTATGCATAATTCTTTGCTTTAATTCCTGGGGATTATCAAGATCAGAGCAACTGCGATTGCCAGTATCACATTTTCAATGAAAGGTGCAGGAATTTTTTTTTAAAAATCAGTGCACTATATCACTGTACTCAATAGCTGTTACTGTTCTTATTTTACTGCTGTAACGCTCCCAAATTCATTGTAGTCATTTCAAACTTCCTGACGCTGAACCATTAAATAGTAGCATTACGATGTCAGGTAACAGGAAAAAAATGTTAGTTAACACAGTTTTTTTTTTTGACAATAGATAAAACAAATTTTCATCTCAACACCAGTATAAATTAGCAACTCTAACTATAATTGCATACCTTGTGCTGCCACGCAACAGACAAGAAGAAACATGGGACATATAACCAGAAGAGGCCTGTCAGGCCACTGGGTTCATTCCCTTGTGTCTATGGTTTTATATATTTAAATGCACCTATGGATTCTAGTCCCTGGTGGGGACATCTACATTTGTAATTAATGTGCCTGAATTTTCTTCACAGCAAATGAGACACATGTCTACACATGTGCCCCTATCAGGAGTAAACCGCACTTGATAGGAGCAGCCCAGTCCTGCTCTGCTTTGCTCTGCATCCCTGCAGCAGCCAGGGGGAGCTCCGGGCTGGCCCAGGTGCCAACCCTAGGGCTGGCAGGGAGCATGGTAGCCGGTCCTGATCCCCACTTGGTGGGGACACTGCCAGCCAGTCATGTGGGATCAAGAGGGTCCTGAGCACCACGTGGCCAGGAGAGCCATCCCCTCTCAGCTGGCAGGCAGCTGTCCCCAGCTAGCAGGCAGCATCCCTGCCAAGGGGGGATGACTCTCCCAGCCTGGTGGGGATTGGGTCCTGGCCTGATTTGCACATGGCTGGAACACAGCAGTCTCAGCTGCTGGGACAGCTCTGCCAGCCATGTGGAGATTGGGTCCCAACCCAATCCCTATGTGGTGAGTTAACAGCTGCCCCTGCAGCCAGCAAAGCTCCCAACCCTCCCATACTGGGGCTTAACCAGGCAGCAGTGGACTCCCTGCTGCCTGGGCTGAACGGGAGCAAATTGCTCCTGGTCAGTGTCTACATGCGTGCACAGTAGTTAATGCACCATGAATCTAGTACCTGTATTTCTTGGCATTAGCAAACATTGTATTAGCTTAATTTACTGCACAGTAAATTCCATGCACATGTAGACAGTGATGCTTTACTGTGCATTAGATTAGGGGAAGGAGCAATAATGCTGAGGTGATGGTACTTGCACAGCTTTTATGTGTGCCAAGAAAGGCTAGCATGGCCTCAGTGTCTTATTGTGAACAGCTGTCTGCTAGTTTATCATTTGTTGCTTGGGATGAGAATTGTTGCTGTTTCATGCCAGATAAGTTCGAAGGCACATGCCACAACTGGAAGGGAAAAAAATCACATTAAGCTCAGACATTGCAGAAGGAAGAATTCTTCTTTGACTCACCATTTTTGTCAATTGGTGGGTACTGGAAATTCCTCCTCATGTCATCCAGTGACAGGCCTTGAGAGGGGTGTTGTCCAGCACTGTAAAATTGATACATTTCAGTTACATATGACTTGAAAAATTACATCTGCAGAATATTAGAGCCTTTCTATTAATCAACTTTGAAGAGAAATATTGTAGCATGAAATACACCAACTTGATGGCCTGCTCCTGGCATTCACAATAGAGCTACTGGAATGAAAAGCTATAAATCGGGATAATGAATCAAAACCGCACATATAACCTACGCAAAGTAACACATTTTCAACTATATCATTTTGGCTTCAAAACTGTTTGTAAATTGTGATTTTAGTTGGCATTCTAGGCATCAATCCAGTATCATTATAACATCAATATTTTATGCAGCTATGCTATCAGGTTTCTGCAAATTAGTTTCTCCAACAAAGAACATCCCTGAACTGCCACCAGTGTTACTGACCAACAGCACCACCTTGCCAGCAGGTTTATTTATCCTCTACTCACAGGAGCTATCAAATAAAGCCTGTCCTTAACAAGCTCTTCTCAGGTGATAGGCAAACAGAAACCGGGCATGGCCAGCGAACAAAAAGCAGCAGTGCTATTTTATCCCATGGCCCATTTACTTCTAAGGAGGCATAAAAAAATTAAAAGAAAAGAAAAAAAGAATAAGGCAAAGTATAGTGGCTGCAGTGGCACAGCACCTCCAGGCACACCCATAGGCAAAGTTGCAGCTTGAAGAAACAGTTGAAATTATTTGCCACAATGAAGCTTCCTTGGTGATTTCATTGAATCCAGTCACTAAGTAATGGCAGGTAAGGATGTCACAAGTGGTATATTTTTATTATTGCAATAGTATCTTTCAAGACTGGTTAACTGTTGGTCATATTTTATTGTTCATTCTGTATTAAAGTTCCATTGTACCAAAGTTAAATTTAATGCAAACCTTTTTCACTTTTAAAATATACTTTCCTGTTACAATCTTAATTACATGAGCAAATTTACTTTCCACCTTCAAAAGGACAAGGACTAATAAATACATGTTCTTTCCCTAGCAATTTTTTTTCTGTTTGTATAATGGTACTTGATAATTCTAGTTTGGCATTCAGTCAGTTTAAAAAGGTTTGGGACGGGAGACAAAAACATGTTTTGGGAGTAGCTCATTTATTTGTTGCTTTGGAGAAAAAATGTTTTCGAGATTCTTTTGCCGCAGTTTAAAACAATAGCCTAATTGTTATCCTGAAAGGCTTTATTAAACTGTTGCATTATGCAGACTCTTCAATCTCAAAGTGCCTTATAAATATTGATCAACATAATTCTGCTGTGATGTGGCTCATAGCTATCATTATTATATACATTTTATAGATGGGTGAACAGAAAGGTTAAAAGGGCAGCATCCACTATGGGGTTTATGTGCCAACTACCAATTTGAGCAACTAGGTCCAACACATAGCAAGCAATGAAATTCTTAAAACACCCACTTGGCTGGTGCTTAATCTTAAATATGTTCCTTAAGCTCCCTAAGCATTGCATAAGAAGCCCAGGCCCCTAATGAATTCCCCTAGGGTCCGGAGCACTTAAGCATTAAGTGTCACATTTCTAAGCTTAACTGCCCTAGGCAATGAAGTTTCTGCTTGCAAATTGTGTTAGACTGCTGAGCTGCTCAGAGGCCTATTCCATGTCCAGCTACTCAGACTTTGTGAGACTTCATTCCCCCATCTATCTTACCTGCAGGACTCAATACACTAGGCATCCATCAAAGGTGGCAGAGGACTTTTATGGCTGGTTTTGTGTGTCATGTAATACCCACTAGTCCAGCGTTTGAGGTAACTACCTGGGCAGTGAAAGATCTGTCTTCAACTCCCCACGCTAGCTGTTTTAGAGAAGTGACAAACTTGGGTCTTTCTCATCTCAGGAGAATACTCAGGCTCTTGGGTAAGATAGTCTCTTGTACTGAAGGCTCTTTCATTTCATATAAGTAAATGCTCTCTGGGTGGTAAGAGATTGACTCTATAGTTTAGCAGTGAAGCTATTCACCTGGGAGGTAGAAGAATATGGTTCAAGTCCCTGCTTTGATGATCATTTTATTTTTTATATAAAATGGAACAGCTTTAACTGGAGAGATTAGAAATTGCCCAGAATACCCAAGAGCCTGGTGGCTAGCTCACTCACTGGCATGCAGGAGACCTGGATGAGAGTCTTCTGTGTGGGTTTGAAAACATCCATCTCCCAGCTGAATGCCCTAAAAAGCAGGCCACAAGGTGTGCAGATGTCAAGTATGTCCTTCACTTGGTATTCATGAAAAAAAGATGCATCTTAGGCATGTAATTACTTTTGGAGGGGGTGAGCCCCTCAGCATTGGCCTCCTTTTTGCATTTTCTACTGGATGGCTTTGGTAGATCTCTATGCATTTTCTAGGGATTCTGTCCTTCAGTACTTGACTCTTCCCATGTATGGTGTGAGGAGCCTGGATGCTGACCTTGGGAATATGAAATACAATGTGGGGGGAAAAGCACTGAAGAGTTAGGCACTACAATGACTAGGTCACAGCAATATTGCACAGGAAGGGATGTCATGAAATTCAGTTCCCCAACACCTTAATTTTTCCCTTTTATAAGCTGATTATGTTCAGTCTTACAAGTAGTTTGATTTTCCCCTCATGCTCCAGCTGAAAAGCGGTTCCAGCACATTGCTGCTCTAACTTCTGGCCTATATTTATTCACAGCCAATTTATATATGTTATCTTCTTGCAAACACTGTCTCTTAGCTTGAATAGTTCTTTTCCATCTAGGGTGAATACTTCTCCAGTAAATTTAAACTTCAATTATATTCTCTCTTAGCCTCCATGTTGGTAGACAAGACAAACCAAGCTCTTCTAATCTCCTCTAAGATGAAAGGCTCTCCAGCCCTCAGCCATCCTAGTAGCCTTACTCTGCACCTGAGCTAGTTTGACTCCATCTTTATTGAACATGGGTGGTCATCTTTACTGAACATGGGTGGTCAGAACTGTACATAATATTCCAGATGAAGTTTATCAGTATCTTATATAACTTATTGTACAAGACATGTTAAGTCTTATTTAAGTTTACACAGCTTGTGAGTAGAAGAATTAAGAATAGAAACCAGGACACAGGACTCTTGGTCCCTGTACCAAATACTGGCAACACTTTATCTCTCTAGAAGTCTGGACAAAAAATGTTTGTTGTTGTTTGTTTGGTTGGTTTAGTTGGTTTTGACTGGCTCTTGCTGATACCATTTCCTTTTGCAGAGGTCACCCTATGACACACTCCAAGATCACATTTGCCTTTTTACAGATGCATCATAGGGCCATGTTACACATTAATCTCAGGTGGTTTCTGGAGCTCTAAACCCCTGGGTTGCCCACACATCAACACCTGAGACTAGTTCTAAGCACTTGTTAGGTGGATTAAAGTTACACCTTTCCATCCTAGGTTTCCATTTTATCCAACTCATGTTACACTAAGGTGTGGCCTCTCTCAGATACAGATACACATTAGTGTAAACACACCTTCACACCTTTTCCTGCTTGCTCAGATCAGGCCCACTGCCCCCCACCCACCCCTGAACCCCAGATCCCCATTCATTGACCCCTTGCACTCCCCTGCCCCACTTACTTGTGGCTACCCACACTGCTCTTTCTTGGGGGAGTAGGCAGGGAAGGGTTAGCCTTCCTGCTTGGCTGCCACAACCACTGCTACTCTCCGAGCCAGGCTCAGCCCAGAGAAGAGCAGCAGCTTGGCATCAGCAATGGCAGGGGTCAGGCAGGCAGTGCAGGTTAACCCTTCCCTGAACATGTGACTGCTCCAAACTCAAGCTAGCACCAACGCCCATCAACATTTGAGCAATTCACAGAGTAACATGTAACAAGGGCCATATTGGTGGTTCAGAATCGCCTGTGATCACCTAGTGATCCAAGTGGTCATTCTCCTCTGTTCCTGCCAAATTAGGGATTCCCAGTTTATAACTCAAGTGTTTTAATGTTATTCTGCAAAGGCATGTCCTTGCACTTTGTCTTACTGAATTTCAGCCCATTTCTTCTTTTATTCCAGTCCCCAAGATCATCCAGGTCTTTCACTCTGAACTCCCAATCCTACTCTTTATTTTGTGTTGACAGTGCCTTCTACCTTTGTGTCATCAGCAACTCTCCCTTTCTGTGCCATGGTTACTAAAGAAAATATCAACTGAGATTGGTCCTTGAGGAACTTGGCTATCCGCCTTTAGGCTGATAGTTTCTCCTGCAACACTACGTGTTGCCACATCCTCATTAGCCAGTCCTTTACAGTTCTTTTACAAATCCCCACCTTCTCTAATGTAACTAATAATTTTTCATGTCACACCATATCAAATACTTTGCTAAAATCCAGATAAATGATATTTACTTTGTTTCCTTTGTCTATGTGGTGGTCTGCTATTGAGTGGTCTGCTAGAATTTCCCTTTAGTAAGCCTAGATTGTAATTAGCCCATGTTCTTTTTACTTTCTTGTCTTTCATTATTCTTTCTTTCAAAATCTGTTTTAAAGCTCTTGCCTACTGTTGAAGCTCAGAGCAACAGCTGCCCTGATCATTTTTTCCCCTTTAATATAGGTAACTGCAGTTGCTGTTCTCCAATCAGATGGAGCATAGTGAAATAAATTATATTTAATCCCTTTGAGGAGGTAGCCCTCAGGGATTTGTTAAAGGTTGCACAGTAGGTGAGTGGTAGAACTAACAGGATACATGACTCTTGGTCCCTCAATGCTAGGCAACTCTTTGTCTCTTTAGGAGTCTGGACACAAATGGAGTTCTTTTGATTGGCTCTCACTGATACCATTTCCCATTGCAAATCTGAGATAGTTAAATTCAACTGGCTTTTAACTTTGTTTCTGATACCAACCACTGTGCTTTAATTAGAGATAATCCCAGACCATGTCTGAGCTCTCCCAGAGCTGGATGATTTTGTTTTAGTCAGCCAATAAGCACAGATACAGATCTGAACTTCCCCAAAGTTCAGAGTTATTCAGAACTGGGATTCTGGTTCAGGTCGCCTCCAGTGACAACCCTCAAA